ATCCCCCAGGTCCTAAAGGTGCCAGATTATCAGAAGTTTACTGTACTAATAACATTCCCAATTTTTTTTCTTGCCTCTAGTGGGAAAGGTATTTGACAGTTACTCTAAAAGCAAGGCCAGCAGAGTTCTAGAGCTAAGATGCAAGAGATTTGGTACTGACAAAAGTGGTTCATGGCCATTCTCATTCACAATGGATAGGCTTCACATACACTTTTTCCTTTCTGAGAGACGTCTCAGATTAGAAGTCCATTTTACTGTACTATATGAAGCACATAGGAATGGGACATAAGGAGCATGACTGTGCTCATTTCTGATGGGGACCCTAATCTGGGCATTATGCCCTTTGTTGCACAAATTATGGTGCAACCCAAGATTTGGGGGAGGTAAATCAACAGTTGATGAAGAACTCATAATAACTATCATGGCATATAGATACTCATGTCCTTCTGTTTCATCAATTTACTATGTGGCCTAAGGTGAAGCTTACTGAGGTAATGGTGGGAAACTATCAAGCTCAACATTGTATGTTCAGCAGTCTCTTTTGACTCAGATCTTCGAGCAGGTCTCAGCTGGTACCATTCAGCTACCAGATTTGCAACTTTCATTCTTCACACTTGCCATACACATTTACTAGCAATGAAAGATCATCACTCAGTTGGCCTGCTTGGTGACAGCCATATTATTTTAGCCTTCTTCCCTGCCACAATAACCTTCTGTTTTGTGTAGGCAGGACATACCTTTCCTTTTTCCTCTCCAACTGCAATAAAAAAAAAACCCAAACAAACAATCACCCATAAATTAATTAAAATGTCACATTTTAAAAAAATAGCAAAACCAAAACTAAAGACGGCTATTTGAATGACTAATTTCAGTACGCTTTTGGACTTCCCACTCACATGCTTGTATTTCAACATTTATGCTGTCTTTGCTGAGATACTTTTCCCTTAACTAATTTGCTGTGGGATGGTACCTATTGCTTCTACTTGATGGTAGAATCACAGGGCTCCTCCTTTGGTAAGGATTACAGGGCATGGTATTCTTCAGGGGGCTCTCAAGAGGGTAACAATTTATTGACCTAAATCATAGATGGCCTTCCTCTGGGGAACATGGTTAGTTTCGGGGTATGACCAGTTGATCTACAAGCTTCAGAATCAGCACCCCACTTCTACACATTAAACCTCGCTTTCTCTTGGCTAACATGTCAATATGGTTGTACACAATGACATTTAAGCTCCTAATTTAATAAAAGTGGGACTGCTGCCTCCATAGATAAAAGGTTGTTACATCATCTATACTGCTTTATTAGGTAATCTGCTGTTTTATATAGTATGGCGAGATAAGATACAGACTTGTAGACACCTGATCAAAGAGAATATCAAGTTACGAAAGCTTTTTGCCCATGCAGCCAGGAGCTGTGGACAGATGCAGAAGATCATTCCTTCCAATTAATTACCCCCAAATATTGGGTCATGAAGAATTATATCTGATGGATGTTGGGAGTTGATGTCACTATTAAACATTTACACGATCTATTTCAGTGCAATAATCTACTGTTTCTCTTTTAGGCTTTCATATGTAGCTAGAATCCAACTTCTACAAACTTATTCCATGTTCTAGCCATAGAACTATATATTCCTAAAATGTCCCTCCTTTTGTTCAGTTTGGCTGTTTTGTAAGAGGATTCTGTCAGAGATCCTGTGATGGACCATTCCACTATGTCTTGAATTATTGGGTATCATTTTAAACCAAAGCTCCATGGTGGCTTGCCTCTTTCAGGTTCAGGAGGTCCGGGGCAAGCCAACCCTCTTGAGGCACAGCCCCTTTAAAAACAGGTGTTTGGGCCTGGTAGAGGGGAAGAGGTCTGGTGATTGTCTGATAAGCAACCAATTCCCATAAAGTCTGAAAGAGCTCAGTTGAAGAGAAGAAATATAGAAGCAGGTTCGCTCCTATATTGGGGGATGCCCAAACAATGTTTCTAGGCTGGAGAAGAGCTGCCAGGAACAGGAAGGCTCTGGGAGGAAAAAGGTAATTGTTGGGTTTATATTGAACTGTTTTTAGGTCAATACAACCAACAAACAGTGCCCTGAAAAAAGGGTCTGAACAGACCCTGGGGCTATGTCTACATAGGCACCCCTTTCCGGAAAAGGGATGCTAATGTAGCACTTTGGAATAGGCAAATCTGCGGGGGATTTAAATAGAGAATTTAAATACCCCCCGCGGCATTTGAATTAACGTGGCTGCTGCTTT